CAGATATCATTTTCATCTCCTCTCACTTGTATTCATCATGAGTTTGTGCATCAAGTCATGAAACATCCACAAAAACTAGCTGTTGAACTAGATGAACAATCATTAACATATGGTGAACTTTTGTATTATGTTCAAGTGTTATCTTTAACTCTTCTTAATGAATATGATGTGTTTCCAGGTGAGGTCGTATGTCAATGTGTTGAGAGAAGTCTGTCCATGGTAAGTTTGTTAAGATGAGTAATAATTAATGTGGATTTGAGATTGATTTTGATTAGGTGATTGGTATTATGGGAATTGAAATGGCTGGTGGTGTTTATTGTCCATTATCGCCTCGGGATCCACAACATCGTTTGCATACACTCACACAACAGACACAAAGTCGTCTTGTACTTGTTCATCATTTAACTACGACTAAATTCGATGATGATATTGTTGCTCTTCACATTGATTCTATATTAAACGTTGAAAATATGAATAGTAACTTGAATTATAATTGCCTTTCGAGTGTGAAAGTGACAGGCAAAGAGATTGTTTACATTATTTTTACTAGTGGTTCATCTGGTATTCCAAAAGCGGTATGATAGAAAGATTGTCACTTCATGTATATTTGACATTGGAAGTTTTGTTCTAGGTTCAACTGAGACAACAGAACTTCATCAATTCAATACTAGCTTTGATTCGGATGGATACACTACATGAAAATGACATTGTAATTCAAATAGCTAGTTCAACATTCGACGCGCATGTACAGGAAATTGTAGGATCTCTAATCTGTGGAGCAACAACAGTTATGCTACATTCACAAGGGAATATGGATTTTCAATATATTAATCATATTTTACATGACAAACACGTAACGCATTTGGTAGCGGTTCCGACTTATCTCAGTCATTTATGTGACTTCCTCAAGCAAAGTAGATATCCGTCATGGATACTAATGAGAAATATTAGCTGCATCGGTAAGTTGAACATTGAGCACGATAAATAGAATAAATATTGATTAATTTATCAACGTAGGTGAATCTATGTCATCAGCTTTCATCAAAATACTAATGCAGTTTGTTGCCCAATCTTGCCGAATTTGGAATTTATATGGGCCTGCGGAAGCCACACTTGGAACTTCATGTCACCTAATTGATGTGACCTCTGACATGCATAATCTTCCAATCGGCAGACCACTACCTCACTACATATGTTTACTTCTAAACAGCTTTTTGCAACCTGTTGTGATTCAGGAAGAAGGAGAACTACTAGTGGGAGGACTAGGTGTCTTTGCTGGGTATCTTGGACGTGATGATTTAACTGCAAAAGCTCTTCTTGAAATTGATGGTCAACTATTCTATCAAACAGGTGATCTTGTCCGAATGGATAACAATGGTCTTCTTCATTATCAAGGAAGAAAAGATCATCAAATCAAACTTCATG